TGGTAAATTCACACTTTTTCATATTAAAAAAATTAAAATTAAAAGAAAAATCAGATAATGGATCATATTTTTAAGGAATACAACTACCCATCATTTTTTTTAATTCTAAAATAAATTTAAATTAATAATAAAATAAATAAAAAACCTCTCGCAGGTGCGGAAGCGTGTGCGGAGAGCTAGTGTTAATTAATTTTAAATAATTTAGAATTTTTTTAGTGAATTGTCCATTTTAATTAGAAGTATGACTAAATTCCGCATGAAAAAACAAAAAAGCAAAAGTATCGGAAACAACACAAAAACGTTGAGAAAATTTCGAAAATAAAGTGTTAATGACCGTCCCACATGTGTTCGAATTCCTTCTCCTCCAATATAATTCGTAGAATAATAATCTCTAACTCTACGTAGGTATATACAAACATAAGGCGATGGGCAATTTGGCAATGTGGCTAAAAGATGAGGTGGTCCAAGGGCCACACGGTTTCTGCGGGTGTTGTGTAATGTGGTGGGAATTAGAAAATGCCACATGACCCATGACTCATGAGGGCCAGCTGTCGTTGGTGTTCTTATTTTGTTTATGGGAAAGAAACTAGTCCATATTCCTGGACTTCCACAATTTAAACCCCAACAATTTACAGGATATATGGCAAAGTTTTTGGCTTTTCGATACCACCCAACACAGGTTTTGTTTTTTTATCACATATCCCTTTTATTTTTCGGCCTTGATAATTATGATTAATTATAATTTTTTATATACATTATACGAACGATATTGAGAATATGAGGATTTGAATATATGATTTATGGTGTAAATATATCTGCTCTCAATCACTTGAGTTATAAGCCACTTACGTAATATAATTATGATAAATAATTTATGCTCGAAAATTTTGAAAAAAAACACAAACATATATATGACTTGAAATCCAAGCTAACAAAGAATGCAAACATGATGGTGCCAACTAGGGAAGGCTGCAAACAAACCCAACTTGTGGGCGTGCGTGATTGTATGTTTAGCTATTCTTTAATGTTTCTTTTTGAACTTTTGGAAGAGGTTCAGTACATATTTTGTTTTATGCTTTGTCAGAGTGTTTTGTATAAAATCAATGAAAGAATATTGCCTACCATAATAAAGTGATAGGGAAATGAAATGAAAGCAAGTTTTTTTTTCCTTTTTCAATTTGGAATGATATCTAATTTCTAAACTAAAGGATACAAGGCTAATTATTAGTAATATATTAATTATAGGATGAACCCTTTTGTGTATTGAGTCATTGGTCCACTTGAAATTAGGTTTGAATATTGGCTTAATGTTGACGTTGATGCACAACAACTATCATGGAAAGCGAAAGTATATGGCTGATACCATGATCAAGGTTTAAATTCAAACGCTATTCGGTAAGTGAGTTAATATAATATTAAGCGAATACTCGTATGGATTCATTCCACAAATATCATCTCATGATTAAAATGGTTCATTTTTCAAGTCAACATTCAAGAATTAACCTTGCTTTTCAAGCGTATGACATATGGCTCTTCCTACTCTGTACTAATCTTCTCATTGAGGTCAACTTATAATGCTACACTTACTACAAATAATGTTAACAATAATTCATAAGTGAAGCTAGTCAATAATTACTGGACCATTCAAAAGGACCTCTTTCTTTAACTCCTCCAGGACAGATAGATGCAGAGTTGTCACACTGCAGGGGGGGAGACAATTGTTTTTATGAAATGTAAATTATAAGAGTCCTTTTCTTTCAAGTTTCAACCAAGCATGTACCAATGTCCGAAATACCAATACTATTTCATCTCCTTCGGCAAGATTGATCTGATAGAAAAGTAATATAACCTATATTTCACTGGGACATTTTGAGGAGCTTAAACATCTTTGTTTTTCTACATTTCGGTGCCATACGAAAAAACTGCTCTCTTGCTCCCGAGTTCGATTAAGTTAGTTAGATTAGATGGGACCTTTAAAGGGAGAGGTTGGGATTTTCTCATCTACCGAGTTGGATAAATAGGAGGACCACAGACCAGACAAACCAAGACCATCCCTAGTTGCCATAAATTTGGTAGCTACGAAACAGAGCAGCCGTTTAGAAAGCCCCTATGCTTGGGGAAGCTCTACATTTGCTTTCCCAACATATCATAAAACATATGCCCCAAATTTGGACATTGATCAATCAGACCAACCACCCTCTGCAATGTCATAAATTTCACAAAGCTGAAAAATCCCATTTCACTATTTTTTTCCCCTTTTGTCCTCTCTTTTTTATTTGACTTGCTGAATCTTCCAACAGGTATTATCAGTTATGACTCTGTTTTCTTGGTTAGGTCTGTTGAAAAACACAAAAAACAGAGGGAAATTAATGAAATTCAAGAGTGAGTGAGACAAAATATCATAATTCAAGATTCTTCTTCTTCTTCTTCTTCTTCTTCTCATTACATATTGTATATGAGATGCATCCAACTGAGGATGAAAAGACAAAATTGCCATTGGATAAGAAAAGCAGAACAGCTGGTGCACGGGCACTGGGGCAGGGTGAGAGAGAGAGAGCACAAGTAGTGTAAAGATGGTGATGGCTAAAGATCATGTTGGTTGCTGCATCAGGGCTGGGCAAAACTGCTTTAATGGTTTTTCATTCTGAGTTGTTTTGTTAGGTCAATCTCAGCAGATTCCCAGACCCAGCGAGGATTGAATGCAACTCACTGCATCTTTATAGAGGTTTTTTAGGTTATAGACAGACTTCCATCATAACTCTTGTCTCTCTGTGGTGGGTGAGTGATGTAACAAATATAAATAGTTAATCAAAATAAAAAATAAATCAAAATTTCTTCATCAATTTCCTTGTTAAATCTTGGTCCATACATGAGTTCTTGTATGTATGGCTACAGCTTCTGTTTTAGCTAGTGAATCACCTGCTCAAAGTCAAAGACAGGCTAAAGTGGTGATATCCAGCACAATTTACGTTTCCTAGTCTTAAGAATGTTAGTTTGATTGGTGATCAACTAAATAAGATTATAAAACACCATTTATGATTAAATAAAGTGCAAATTGTGCACATCTTATCCAAGAAGAATTGGAGATGAGTAGATGAGCATAGAATATTTTAAAAATAAATTCTTCCAATACTCTGTTGGTTATTATGTCTAATATTCCATGATGTGCATCTCTGTGTGTCCCCATTAATCATTACATGTATCTTCTTTTTCCCCACCTTTTTTTTTTAATGGATTAAAGATAAGAAAGAATTACAAAGTATATGTTATCAAAACATCTTGAATGATATCGGGAGGCTCTCATACCATGAAGAAGTTATCATCTAAATGATATTGGGAGGCTCCTCCTTCTTTACAAACATGTCTTTCTGAATTAAAGATAATAAAGAATTACAAAGTATATGTTATCAAAACATCTTGAATGATATCCGGAGCCTCTCATACCATGAAAAAGTTATCATCTAAATGATATTAGGAGGCTCCTTCTTCTCATGTCTTTATGAATTAAAGATAATAAAGAATTACAAAGTATATGTTATCAAAACATATTGAATGATATCGGGAGCCTCCCCCTTCGTTACAAACATGTCATCAGCCCATTAAGCACTACCTAGTATAGATATATGCATGCCATCAAGTTCAAATTTGAAAGGAGAATGAGTACCATTCCTACCCCAATTTCAAATAGTTTAGATTCCGTTTGATGCCCCTAGGTTGATCTACTGCTTCGTTCAATGATTTTGGCCATGGCATGCTCTTCACTTCTTTAATGCTTTAATCTTTGTACTTTGAAACTTTTGGAACAGTTTGGTCAGGAATCTATATGTTTACCTTAGATTGTTATTGTCTGTTTGGGTATTTGTGGTTGCCATGCATGAAGACAACTTGCATAAAGGGAAAGCAACAAATTGAAAAAAGAAAGAAAGACTGTTATCTTTAAATAAGATTACGAACTTTTAATTGATTTTAGTCATTTATCAAGTTAAAAATATATATAATATTGTAGGTACCTAATCAAAATCAAAATCCAATATTTCCACTTGGACTCATTTAAATAAAACATTATGAAAATCCGAATTCCCGTCATTCTCTCTTGGATCATTACTTAAACAAACGAGTCCCGACAAGCCCATAGTTCGTCGTTTTGCAAGCCCACCTTTGAGATACGGCCCGTGCTCTCCAGCTCTTAATTGTATCTGTTTTACACTTTGAAGTTTGAACAAACAACTATTTTGAGCCTGCAAGGAATCTCGAGAGAGGAGTCTTTTTTGGGAAATTTTATTGAAGCAAAGAGTACAAAATAGGGAAATCTTTGGACTGTCTTTTCTTTTAATACAAGCGATAGTTAAAGGGGAATGAGGCTTTCGACACACACTAGCACTACTACGGTATTATGAGAATTCAAACCTGAGATAACGGGTATGCAAATCAATGCCCTTTTTTCATTGGATTAGACCTTATTGACTTTTGAACTGTTTTTTCAAATTTGATAAAAGGGTAAGTCGAATTTGTTCATGTGCCAGCATTATTTTGTGAATCACCCCAAGTGTAGAATTTGGATTTTTGTGCATTATCAATATCTTTATTTGTATATCTAGCTGCAAGATTAGCCATTAAATGTATGAGATTATAATCTTAACATTACAGCCAAATGCAAAATTATATTCTTCGTCTCTACCATGTGAGAAATAAATTGTACGCTTTTGGATCAACATAAATTATTCGGGGAGATCTTAAACCATGTACGAAAACTTCCAATAAAATACAAAAGTGCATTCATGCTTGATTTCCTGTTATTAGTGCTTAGCTTTGATCACAAGCATAATATCAAAATATATAGTAAGTATAGAATCTAGTTTCTTGCTGCAAAATTTATCGTCGAAGCCATATAAATACACTCTTAAAACCCTCCAAAGAATCCACCAACCTTTTCAACCCTAGCTGTCTCGTTTAGGTTGCCCAGAGCTCAAGAAATATATCAAAAAACAAGAGGGAAAATTATGGAGCAGCACAAACAACAAACCCTAGTGATTCCTCTAGTCTCTCTGCTCTTCATCTTGTTATCATCTCTAAATGTAAGCCATCTCATGTTCTCAACTCAGATAATACTTTTTCTTTTTTGTCGGTGTTGTTTCTTAGAGAAGATTGGGTTGTTATTCGCATGGTGGGCATGTCCTTTACACCAAAGTTCGAATTTTCTCTCCTTAGATTAAATTGTTTACAAATTTTGAATTTTTTTTAAATAAAAAAAGAAAAAATTGTTGATCTTAGTTGTATCATTGAATTCATTCTTTGATTCGTATTTTATTCATCCTCTTACAAACAATGTTATGTCCAAATCCAGGTTACTTTCGCGACGGCCAGCTCAGGGGAAAGCCCATTTACGCCGAAGGCCCATCTGATTCGGTACTGGAACAAAGCGGTCCAAAACGACGCAGAGAAACCGTCGTTTCTGCTCTCAAAGGCCTCGCCATTGAGCGCAGTCGACTCGGCGGCTTTTGCACAACTCGCAGCTCAAAACGCTCTCTCGACTCGGCTGCAGGAGTTCTGTTCCTCCGCCAACCTCCTCTGCTTCCCCGATGTGGGCCAGAGCCTCGAAAATCATGACGGCGACACGAACTTCACCGCCTACTCGACTAAGAACTTCACAAACTACGGGACGGCTCGATGGGCAGGAGTCGACTCGTTCAAGAACTACTCAGTCGGCGACACTTCGCAAGTCGACTCATTCAGGCGCTACAGCCGCGACTCAGTCAACCACACGGACGATTTCAACAGCTACGGCCCGGAAGCCAACCTGGTGGACCAGAGCTTCAACAACTACGCCACCGGAGCCATAGCAGGAACCGGGGAGTTCAAAAACTACGCCGACTCGGTGAACGTTCCCAACCTCCGATTCAACTCGTACTCGGATGATTCCACTGGGCGGGCCCACGCCTTCACTGCCTACAGTGAGAACGCCAACGCCGGCGATCAATCATTTACAAGCTACTCCAAACACGGAAACGGGGCCCCGAACGAGTTCACAGGCTACGGCACCGAGGCGAATTCCGTCGGGTCCGGGTTCACGGGTTACAGCGAGGCGGTGAATGGCGCCGATGACAAGTTCAATAATTACGGAAACCACCAGAACAATCCGCAGAACAAGTTCAAGAGCTACGGCGACAGCGGCAATGCGGCAGTGGAGACTTTCACCAGCTACAGAGACAGTGCCAACGTGGGTGACGACTCGTTTCAGTCGTACGCCAAGAACTCCGAAGGCGAGAAGGTCAATTTCATCAATTACGGCAAGTCGTTCGAAGTCGGGTCGGATAAGTTTACCGGGTACGGTAAGGGTGCCCATGGAGAGTCTGTCGGGTTCAAGATCTACGGTGTGAACAATTCTTTCTCAGACTACTCAAAGAATGAGAGCATAACGTTCAAAGGCTACACAAAACTCAGTGGCAGTTTGGTAAAAAGGACGGTTGAGCCGGGCAAATTCTTCCGGGAGTCCATGCTCAAGAAGGGGATAGTGATGCCCATGCCTAATATCCAAGATAAGATGCCCAAAAGGTCGTTTTTGCCCCGGTTCATTTCTTCAAAATTACCTTTTGCCACATCCAAAATTTACGAGCTGAAGCGAATTTTCCAGGCGCCTGATAACTCCACCATGGAGAAGATCATGCTGGACGCCTTGGAAGAATGCGAGAGAGCTCCGAGCGCTGGCGAGACAAAACGCTGCGTTGCGTCGGCTGAAGATATGATCGACTTTGCAACCTCAGTTCTAGGCACAAACGTCGTCGTTCGCACCACGGACAACGTCAACGGATCAAGCGAGGACGTTTTGATTGGATCGGTCAAAGGAATCAACGGCGGAAATGTCACGAAGTCTGTGTCTTGCCATCAGAGCTTGTTTCCTTACCTAGTGTATTACTGCCACTCTGTTCCTAAAGTTCGGGTTTACGAAGCAGATCTCTTGGACCCGATTTCCAAGGCAAAGATTAATCATGGAGTTGCCATCTGTCATTTAGACACGTCAGCTTGGAGTCCAACACATGGGGCTTTTGTTGCTTTGGGTTCAGGTCCCGGTCGGATTGAGGTGTGCCACTGGATTTTCCAAAATGATATGACTTGGGCTGTGGCTGACTGATGATGATGCATTGATGCTTTTTAGTGATTTTGGGTAGATTTAGGTGATTTAGGTTCGAGCCTCTGGCTAACCTCCATTTAATTTCATTTTAATCAATTATTTTTTTAATTAAGCATTAACTAATCACCATGTTGTCATGATGAATTGAGCTGTGAACATTTGCAATTATCACAAGTAAATGAAATATTGAACACCAATATTCAAGCTGCGGAATTCAAGGACACAAAGAGACTGAACTCGAAAGGATTTTTGCGGAAGATGAAGAAAATTCTAGGGTTCGTCTCGCACAGTTAGCCGCCATGTCTATTTTCCTGATTCCCGAAGCTCAAAGCTTTCTTTGTTCCTTCCTGGACTGGAAATCAGGAAGACAATGAAACTTTGTGGGCTGAGTCTAACAAAGAACAGAAAAAATGGGGTTGTAATGAACCTTCCTAGCTTAAATAATGGCCCAAAATTGGAACTTCAAAACTGCAATGAAACGAAGAATCTTCGTGGAGAAAAAATTATATTAAAAAAATAGAGAGAAAGAGATACACAATATAATTTGGATTAAATGAACTTGTTATAGGTTATGTTATAGGAATTTAACCCAAGACATAGGTTACAATAGGTTACAATGGTAGTGGTTATCCAACTCCTGCATTTAATAAAGGTAAGTGATGCCAACGAATCTAACCAAGTGGAAAGGGGTTTTGATTTGCATATTAATGGTTTCATGTTCAAATCCTCATGACACCTTGGGGTGTGTGTGTGTGTGTGAGAAACCCCATTCCCCTTATAATTTAGACTATCACTTGTATTTATATAAATAAATAAATAAGGGACATAGGTTACAATGGTTGTCGTTAACTCATGCATTTAAAAAAAATTGTATTAGCTAATTATCATGTCTCACGTGATAATCTATTCTTTGAAATGTTAACCCTAAATTATTAAATAAATTCCAATTAGCACAAAGCATTAACAATAAACCATTAAAGAATAAGCAATTAGCATGTCTCGCGGATAGTTTAGTATCAAAAGTGCCCTAGTGGACAATGATCTTGACTTGCATATCATGTTCGAACCTCCATGAAAAAACACATGTTAATATAAACCATTAGAAAATTTTAAAATTGTAAGGGATTTGTAACTCAAATGGTTAAGAGTATTTGAGTATACACTCAATGTGTTATGTTCGATTTCCCCTTCCCCCAATATTGTTAGTATTCGTAAAATAAAAGAAATTAGCATGACTTATCCAAATAATAAAATTTTCAACATTTATCTATCTATATCTATATATATATAAAGCAAAAGGCAGAGAATAGTGAAACATTCAAAACACCATAAAATGTCATTGGTTAATTCAATTAAGAATTGAAATTATTAATAAATGAGGATAATATGGTAAATTCATATTTTTTCATATTAAAAAATATTTAAATTAAAAACAAGATCAAATAATAAGTCATACTTTTATGGAACATAACTATCTATGTTATCTTTTCTTAATTCTTTAAAAAAAAAACCCAGTTGGCACATGTGTGAGCATGTGTCAAGGGGCTAGTATATATAAAGCAAAAGGCAGAGAATTGTGAAACATTCAAAATACCAAAAAATGTCATTGGTAGCAAACATTAAGAATTGAAATTATTAATTAAATGAGGATAATATGGTAAATTCACAATTTTCATATTATAAAAATAAAAATAAAAATAAAAATCAGATATTTTATCTTATTTTTATGGAACACAACCACCCATTATCTTTTTTAATTCTAAAATAAATTTTCTTAAAACAAGACTCCCGTGGGAGAAAAACTTCCCTGTCACAGTGATTCCACCATTAGAATCCACATCAATATCTCAAACCAATCCAATTCTGACAACTGGCCACAGACTTAAAAATATTTTATACGTATTTTCTTCCACCTCTCGTCGGCATCTCTCTCTCTCTCTCTCTCTCTCTTTCTCTCTCTCTCTCTCTCCTCCATTCCCAGTTCTCTCTCCAATCACTCCTCCTCTCCATCATCATCAACCACACATCGCTAATTCGTCTTTCCCAGTTCTCTCTCCAAATGGACTTGAGAAAGATTGGTTTGGCTTCGAATATGTGGAAGAACTCGGTATGGTTTGGAGGAGAAAAAATTTATCCGGCGTCCTTGTCTCTCCTTCAATATGACCTCCAATATGAGGAATCTCTTTCCTTTTTTTTCTTCAAATTTATTATCTATTTGGGAGTTTTGAAAAATTAGACATGGTGGAGCTGAGAGAGACTATGTTGTTTCGATTTTGTCAGGAAACATTGAAGGTGTGGTTTGGGGGAAAGCTTATCATCTCCTTATTTAGCCTTTTTTTAAATGAACTGGGGGGCAAATCCCTAAGAACTAGCCATTTCATTATCACTAACTATTATCCTTTTTCATCTCAGTTTAAATATATTACAGATAAAATGGGGAAATTAATACATGATGTGTGTGGGTGATGGAGTGACTGAAGTGGGAGAAGAATTAGAAGAACAAAGTTGCAAATTTTTACGAACTCAAAGAGGAAAAGAGGAGGAGAGAGAGAGAGGGATGCTGATGAGATGAGGAAGAAAATAGGCATAAAATATTTTTAAGTTTGTTGCTAGCTGTGAGAGTTGGATTGGTTTGGGATACTGATGTGTATGCTGATGGTGGAAACAAGGAAGTTTTTCTCCTCTTGTGGGCGTGAAAGCACGTGCGGAGCAAGATCCTCATCTCGGTTTCTGTTTTTGCTTTATGATGGTTTTCCCATGCTTTAATTTTCATTTTTACAGCTGAACCATGTGTTTCAAGTGATTTGGTGATTATGGTTAGGGTATGGTTATTTGGTGATTAATTATGTATGATACTGCAGATGAACCATGTGTTTCAAGTGATTCTTGGTTGTATTTTGGTGTTTTCAAGTGGTATTTGGATTTTTGTTGTTGTTCTCGCTTAATAGTTTTTTCATTTTGTTTTCATGTCTTTGTATTTTGGACAGGTGGTGTTGTCCTGTTTTTGTGTGCCTCTTTTGGGAAGTGTTTGATAGCTTCTCTGATTACAGGTTAGTTTTCTTTACATTTTTTAAAAGACTATGCATGGTGTAGCTGTTGCTAATTGATTCTCATAAATTATGGGCCGGGCTTTAGATACCCAAGCTCAAACCCGGGCCACTCAACAACGGGCCTGATTAGGCTTTTTCTCTCTCAAGAATCTTCGCGGGCCTAACGATGACCCCTACTTTCTCTCTCTGTTTTTTTATATAATTTTTTCTCCACGAAGATTCTTTGTTTCATTGCAGTTTGGAAGTTCCAATTTCGGGCCATTATTTAAGCTACGAAGGTTCATTACAAGACCATTTCTCAGTTCTTTGTTGGGCTAAAACAGGCTTTTGATCCATATATGTTCTTAGACTCAGCCCACAAAGTTTCATTGTCTGGGAAAATCGGTTCCTGACTTCCAGTCCAGGAAGGAACAAAGAAAGCTTTGAGCTTTGGGAAATAGGAAAATAGACATGGCGGCTAACTGTGCGAGACGAACCCTACAATTTTCTTCATCTTCTGCAAAAACCCTTTTGTGCTGTACACCATCTTCACCTTTCGCCTCCAAAGCTTCTAACCTTATCGAACTTACTGCCGTCAAGCCCACTTCTGCTCCTCGACTCGCTGCTCAGAAGCTCAAGTTATCAAGGTTCGATTACTTTTTTTATACCTTTAATTTTGACCTACTTTGGAAATTGATTGCCTGATTCTAGAAGAATGGAAAAGTGCGCTGTGACTTGTTTGGCTTCTGAGAAAAGAAAATCTGAATCTTGGGTCTTTTGTGCTCACGGGTGTTTTTTTTTCCGTTCTTTTTAGGTATGTGAAAAATGATAAATGGAACTAGCTCCAACTGATGATAATACTTGTATTAAGCTGATTGAGTTCAGTCTCTTTGTGTCCTTGAATTCTGCAGGTTGAATATTGGTGTTCAATATTTCATTTACTTGTGATAATTGCAGATGCCCACAGCTTTCATTTTGACAATGCCTCTAGCTCAGTTCTATTATGTTCACATATATGTGTATGTAGTTTTTCTTGTTTATTTTACTAATCTTATATGATTGTGATAGTAGTTCCGAAAGTCTTGAGCATTATTGGGAATACTGCTGAATTTGTTACTAAACTTACTATGATTTGGCCAAGCATCGATTTTTTTCCATGCAATGAACTTGTTCTGCATATTTACATCATGTGTAAGGAACCTTTAAAAAATTTTAGTTTCGCACTTTCAGATTTCCTGTGGAGTTGGCTGGTGTGCAGTCATTGATCCCATTGCACAGTGCTACTGCTTCTGCCTTGTTCACTTCGCTCCTGTCTTTGCACAATAACAGCTGGGGATGCCTATCAGAAGGTACTCTTCAAAGTTTAGTTTAGTTTTCATACAGTGGCTATGTCTGTGTCTTAAGATTTTAAATATCATTGCACGTTATCATTTGAGAATCCATAGCATACCCCTCTTCCATAATCTTTGGCTAATGAAATTTTCTGTGGAAACAACGTGAATAGGGTTTTAGTTTATTACCAAGATAAATGTTTGTTACAATGCTATGGATGGAAAGGCTTTTTTTTTCTTTTCTTTTATGTTTATTGCAGAAGAAGGGGGGAGAGAGAGAGAGAGAGAGAGAGGCAATGCCTAGCCTGTTCATTTCTGTGAAACTACCAACTATTACCTTGTCTTTTACTTAGTATCAATATACTGAGTAGGTAACTTAAGTAATAGAAGATTTTTTGTTTTTCCTTTTTTTTATAGACCAGTTGCATCTCATTCATTTTGGATCTAAATGTGAGAGATGTTATCACTTAATTTAATACAAATTTATAAATAAACCCAATCTTAGACATGTATTTATAAAAAAACCCAAGTACTATTTAAACATAGAAAAACACCCAAAATCAACCCCAAAGTCAACTTTTTGGGTGTGTTTATAAATGGGTTTTGAGTGTATGTAATGATGGGTTTTGGGTGTGTTTATAAAGTGTTTTGGGTGTTGGGTTTTTTTATAATTTCCACCTCCATTTTGGGTGTTTTAGTGAAACTCCCATAATTTAACTACCTAGATGAGACCTGAATATCAACATCATTTCTTGCGCCAGAGAGCATCTTTCATGCGTGTTCAAATTCTTAGATCTCTCTAAATCTCTCTGATGGAGAGGGAAAAATAATTCTTTAGTGCATTGGATTCAGCAGAATGCCTTGTGTTCAAAAATTGCTACACCAAAAGAAATATCTAAGAATGCAGTGTTTTTAGAATTCTTCACAGATAATCAGGTGACTTGGGGAGGAAGAGAGAGAAATATCTGGAGGTTGTTATGTTATGTATAGGTAGACTGACATGCCAATTGATTTAATCCATATACTCTTTTTTTTTTCTGCTTATTCATGGTGTTGGAATTTCCTTCATGAAAACTCCTTGCAACTTTTACTTTTCCAGTGGTTCATTCTCTCATATTGTCCCATTAATAACTGGGTTTGTCACTGACGGGTGATTGCGAACAGAGATTGTCGATAGTACTATCTCACTGAGGCTTGTCAAATCATGACTCTATCCTCTAGGTTCCCTTCAATGTCTCACCTTGTACATTGCACCTGTATGCAGGGTTTGCAACTCCTCTATAGCATGGCCAGTGAGCTGCTGTTTCTAGGTACAAGCGAGATCATGAATAGCGGATTTTGTTTCTTTTGCGGGTGTCTGATTGCATTTTAACTTTATTGTAACCTGAAAAAGTAGATGATCGTTTCATTGTTTCTCAAGGTTTTTCAGACTCTAGTTATGATAACCTGAAATTCTGCATATCCCTGGTTAGAAATTTTACACACAAGACATCGCGACTATCGTGGTATATACTCTGGAGTTAGCTCAATAGTGGTTTTGAGACAATTGGTAAATCGGGTTTGATGCTTATTGGTTTCATCGGCAATAAAATTTGCAGTACGTTATTGTATCTTGATGAACAAAACCTCCAACTTTTTGTATGACATTATTGCAAGCTTTATAGGATGCAATTTTCACAGCTAAAAGAAGACTACCGCCAAGAACATTAAAGGATTCTTGATGGACCAAGGATTGTTTTGAACACATTTTCAAGCCCTTAATTCTTGTCATGTAATATATTAAATTTCATCAATGATTAGTCCTTGCCATTTAGCACTCAAACATTTAATATTCTGGACGATAATTCAAATCAAGTCCAAACAAAAATCAAACAAATATACCTCCAACATTTTTTATTTTATTTTTGAAGTGTAGTGAATAAGGATTTTCTGAGAATAAGATGAAGCGAAATTTGAATCACATGACACGAGCAAGTCGTGATGTTTTTCATCTTGGTGGGTGCTGTCAAATATTATTTTTATTTTAAGAAAAAACATTTATTGAATGTTTCTTATACGCCAATAATTCAGGATCATTACGTGACGCACCAACATGAATGTGACCGTTGCCGCAACGTTCGAAATTTCTAAAATTTGAAAAAGTTACCTTTTGGTACCTACTTCCCGTTGCCAACGGTCAACTTAAACATCATCCACTTCTTAGTACCCCAACAACAGAGAAAACCCTCCTCCATCAGAACTAAGAACTATCTTCAACAGTCTTGATTGAGATCTTGGTGGAATTGGGGGGTTTTCTGCCAAAATCGTCACCTGGGTATTCAATTTCCAAGTTCGATCGTCGTTTTGCCTAATTCTTCAACATCGAAAAGGCCAGACATGGCGGCTTTGGCACCGGGAATTCTATTGAAGCTTGTGAATGGAATGAACACGGGGGTCAAGCCCACAAGCGAGCACCGAAACTCGCTTTTGCAGGTCACAGACATTGTCCCTGCAGACCTTGACGAGAAGAGCCTCTGGCCCACGCAGGGCTTCTACATAAAAGTCTCCGATTCTTCTCACTCAATCTATGTCAGCCTTCCCTCTGAACACAATGACTTTGTTCTCAGCAACAAAATGCAACTGGGTCAGTTCATCTACGTCGACAGATTGGAGCCCGGGTCTCCGGTACCGGTCCTTAAAGGCGCAAAACCACTTCCCGGCCGGCACCCTCTGATGGGTACTCCGGAACCTTTAATGGGTCTCAGAAAGAAGGGGGAGAGAAGTGAGACAATGTCCAATTCAAAGACTTCTAGAAGGGGGTCTTGGGGCACAGGGAAAAATGGGGTTGATGACGGTGTTTCATCTCCCATGGTGTTAAAGCCTGTTCCTTTGGATTTTGATCAGTGTACTCCAATTAAGGAGCGTGGTGGTAGAAATGGGTCCATGTCTCCAATGATTAGGGGGCGAGTGGGAAGAGATGGAGGCTTGAATGGCGGAATTCGGAGTTCGCTGGGTGGTGGACTCTTGGCAAAGATGGCGGGTTCAAAGGGAGGTGAAAGTCCTGCACTGAGGAAAAGTTGTGCTACGCCCTCTATGTCTAAGTTTCCAAGGAGCAGAAGTGTGTGTGACAGAGAGCCAAGGATCCCAATTAGTCCCTTCAACTCAGCTGTAGGTACATTGCTCCTCTTTGTTACATTTTAGTGATTTTACTCTGCTGCAGAAATTGATTTACCTAATAAAATCAGCCTTTTTCTTTGTTGAAGACTGTTGGATTTTGTTTTCTGAGAATTCAAATTCTTGTTGCAGGAAAAAAAGAAAAGCTCAACTCCACCACCGCGATTACGAAATGCAAGAGTGGCAACTTCACTCAATGTGGCTGGAGATGAACAAAAATCCTCCAACTCAAAGGACACAGCTTCCCAGCCACAACCTCAGCCTGGTAATTTGGGCAATGAAAACAGCCCTAGCCTCCCCATGAATTTGCCAGGACGGCTCAGCATGCTTGGCAAAGTAAGTCCTACATCTCCAAGTGTGCCTATCAGATTTTAACCAAAACCAATTTGTTTTGTTCCTTAAGCTGATGTTATGTTTTCTGCAGGAAGCTGTGCAGCAGAGAGAGACAGCTCAAAAGATTGCCCTTAATGCGCTAAGAGATGCTAAAGCTACCGAGACCTTAGTTAGATCTCTTAAGTATGGCCAATTCCCTCACTTCTGTTGTTTTAGTACATGTAATATTTGTCTGCTCAATTGCTAAGACCAATATGGTTGCTTTTGTAGGATGTTTTCCAACCTGTGCAGAACAGCTAGAGCAGATGCCCCGGCAACCTGCTTTGATAAATTTTTGGAATTCCATCACCAAATTGTCCAAGAAGTGACGGGTATGGTCTCAATTCAAGCAGCTACTTCAGCTTCTGAGTTGACTCAGACTCCAAATGTTAAGCAGCAGAGAGACGAAGATCAAGATGAAGACTCTTCAGTCTTAAACGAAATCGTTCACAACTCCATGAACTCAAAATTAACCTTATCGAAGAGAAGGTGTGCCTTGTACAAGTCAGTTGCAGCCATTCCAGAAAGAAATGAACAGAAGACGACTTTTGAGAAGCTCCTGAGAAGCTCTATAAATCAGAAGGCAACTTCAGAAAGAAAAGCACCATTCACTCCACTTGGAAAGCTGAGTCTTGAAACCATTGGTGAGAATGATGAAAACAAGAAACCAGCTTCTACCAGTTTTAGCAGCATAACCAATACAATCAAATTGGGCAAGCAGATTGAAACAGAAGCTGGGAACTGGTTCATGGAGTTTATAGAGAAGGCTCTGGAGACAGGCATGAAGAAAACCAAAGGCACAACAGATGGGGATGCAAGGAAAGTACCTCAGTCTCTCATACTTAAGGTGATTAATTGGGTGGAAGTAGAACAAAGCAATAGCAGTAAGCGGCCGGTACATCCGAAAGCTGCACATGTAGCTCGAAAGTTGAGGATCAAGATGAAGAATCCTTGAACTGTTGAACAACCCACCACGAGTTGTGTATTTTGCTTAGTTAGGGGAACTTCTTTTGGCAGGCATTGCTTTTGTGTTGTGAAATTTTTACCATTATTTGGAGATTCTGTTGTTGCATTTGAATCTCTAGTCAGCATGTACTAGTGATATAATTAGGCTCTAATTCTATTGTTAAAAGCGCTACGCATTTGTTGAATCTCGTATGAATCTCAGCATGTACTCAAATCAAAAGTTTAGCTCCATAAAGGCTTAAAGTTGATTTAGGGGGTAAGAAAATTTGTGAGGGATAAAATGGTCATAAAGGCTTAAATTTGATGAGGCTGGAAATACCGATAGTACCCTCAGTATTTTTTTCAAAACGACGGCTACTACGATATCCTTCTCCTATACTAGCTCGTTTTGAAAAAAGACTGAGAGGGTACCTTCTATATTTTCGACCGAAAAAAATAGATATCCTTCTCCTACACGAAGTCGATAGTTTCCCTCTCCTCCCTCTTCGAACACAAACGAAAACCCATAAGATTTGAAGTCCGAACACTAAACCCGTGCTAAGCAAGAGATTTAAATTCGGTGAGTAGCTTTTATATCCCATTCTCATGTTCTTTCTTTTAATTTTCAAAGCCTCAAACGAGTGATTTGTTATTTTTGGTGCTTGCCTTTCGAATTCACGAATAAAGTCTCAAATTTTCAACACAAAGACCAAATTTGGGGTTTAGGGTTATCCCTTTTTTCTATGAATGGATCTTCTCCGAGCCTACTCTGATCAAAACGACGAAGAATTGAACGAGCCAGAGCAGCAAAACCAAAACCCTAGTTCAACAACATCGTCCCCAGACGCTTCACCGCCTCGGCTCCTCCCCGCCAAGTCCGCCGCGCCCAATGTCGACGACACGATGCTGGCCCTGACGGTGGCTGATGGCCAACGGTCTTTGAGTCGGCCAATTGACCCGACCCAACACATCGTCGGCTTCAACCCCACCTACGACCAACTATGGGCCCCAATCTACGGCCCATCTCATCCCTATGCCAAGGACGGCATCGCCCAGGGCATGCGTAACCACAAGCTCGGCTTCGTTGAGGACGCCTCTATTGAACCCTTCGTCTTCGATGAGCAGTACAATACTTTTCACAAGTATGGCTACGCGGCCGACCCGTCAGCCTCTGCTGGGTATAATTACGTTGGTGATTTTGAGGCCTTGCAGAAGAATGATGCCGTTTCGGTATATAACATACCCCAGCACGAGCAGAAGAAGCGGAAGATAGAAAAGAGGAAGGAATTAGAGGAAGATGAGGGTGTGGATGACGATATGGACCCAGAGGAGGTCCAAAATCCGGCCAGTGATGTGTGGTTGATGAAGAATAAGAAGAGCCCATGGGCAGGCAAGAAGGACGGTCCGCCAACGGAGCTCACAGAGGAGCAGAAGAAGTATGCCGAGGAGTATGCGAAGAAGAAAGGTGAAGAGAGAGGTGGTGGTGATAAGGGTGAGGTTGTGGTTGAAAAAAACTACATTTCATGGGAAAGAAGAGAGGGATTATCAGGGTAGGTCTTGGATTGCGCCCCCTAGAGATGCTAAGGCATCTAATGATCACTGTTATATTCCAAAGAGGTTGGTGCACACTTGGAGTGGACACACAAAGGGTGTATCTGCTATTAGATTCTTCCCTAATTACGGGCATTTGATTCTCTCTGCTGGGATGGATACCAAGGTGAAAATTTGGGATGTTTTCAATACTGGTAAGTGTATGAGAACTTACATGGGTCATTCCAAGGCAGTTCGGGATATATGTTTCAATAATGATGGGAGTAAATTTCTGACTGCTAGTTATGATAAGAATATTAAGTACTGGGATACAGAAACCGGGCAAGTGATATCTACATTCTCGACCGGGAAGGTTCCATATGTGGTTAAGCTTAACCCGGATGAGGATAAGCAGAATGTGTTGTTAGCTGGGATGAGTGATAAGAAGATTGTTCAGTGGGATATGAACGAGGGAAAGATCAATCAAGAGTATGATCAACATTTGGGTGCTGTGAATACGATTACATTTGTTGATAATAACCGGAGGTTTGTTACTTCCAGTGATGACAAATCGCTTCGAGTATGGGAGTTTGGGATCCCTGTGGTTATTAAGTATATTAGTGAGCCTCACATGCATTCTATGCCATCAATTTCACTGCATCCCAATTCAAATTGGCTTGCAGCACAAAGTATGGACAATCAGATTCTGATTTATAGCACTAGAGAGAAGTTTCAGCTGAATAAGAAGAAGAGGTTTGCCGGGCATGTCGTTGCTGGGTATGCTTGCCAAGTCAATTTCTCACCAGATGGACGGTTTGTTATGTCAGGTGATGGTGAAGGTCGATGCTGGTTTTGGGATTGGAAGACATGCAAAGTCTTCAGAACTCTCAAATGTCATGAGGGGGTATGCATTGGGGCTGCGTGGCATCCCTTGGAGCAGAGTAAAGTTGCAACATGCGGCTGGGATGGCTTGATTAAGTATTGGTAAGTAAAGCTTCATTTGATAACACTTTATGCTACGCTGTAATCATTTGTATGTGCAGTGTTTAGTTTTTATTTGTTTGAGTAGTTTCATTTGCTTGATGCTAAAGGATGTGCCTATTTGTTCATCTCTGCTAAACTCTTGCAATTGCCAACGCTGACTTTTGTATTTGGTATCAGATATAGCCCAGTGTAGTTTATAAAGTAGTATGAAGCTAACGTATTTAATGTATTTAGCGAATTAGCTAGATTGCATACTTGACCGTGTTCACATAAGCTCCATTATGTTTGGGAACCAGAAATGTAGGATTCCTGACCGACATATTTGTGTTTTTCCCCTCCAGAAGAAACTTCCTTTCCTCTATCTACCTCATGAATATATAGGACACATTTTAGGAATTGAGGTGGATTAGAGGAATTTGCTGGATTAGAAAGAAAAAATTGAAATATGTCAGTCAGCAAGTCTATCCACCTCAATTCCTACACATTTTAGGAGCAAATTTGTGTACTAGGAATTGAAATCTTTTCTTATTGGGTTGGATTAGAAAGAAAAAATTTGCTCCTCTTAGGACACATTTTAGTAAAATGGAGTTCTCCCTTTTCTTTTTAAATATGGTTGTAGGGATGGGAGGACTTACACTATAGGAATTGAAATCTTTTCTTATGGGGCTGGATTAGAAAGGGAAAATGTACACTGTCCTTTTTCCTTACTTTTCCATCTTTGACTTAGACTTCACAAGGAACTTGTAGTTATGTATACTTTTTGATTTGTTAATGGTTACCAGCTGTTTTGTAGGCCTGTAAACGCTTGAGTCTTCATAACTTCTGGTTTAAGAATTTTAGGAGACTTGTGGTCTGATAAGAAGTAGCATGGTAACTATTAGAAGACAAGTTCTAGTCTTTCGCATCCCTTTCCTACCTAATTATGCCCTAATGACTTGGGATCAATTAACTCTCTTTCTTTTGTGTTTGTCTTTGATTTAATGTCTTTATTTTATCAAACCCAAATGGATGAAGGGTACCAAGCTGAATGGAGCATATTTCTTTTAGCATGCAATGTATTGCACGAAACAAGTTTGCCACATCTCATGTTTGGTAGTTTAACTGAACTTCCATGTCGGCTTTTCTTCTTTCTATTTATGGTGCTATCTTGGCAAAAAAAAGGTTCAGAAAGTTGTTCCTTCTTTTCCCCTGCATGGGACAAATACTAGGCTAATACAGGGGAGTACTTAACCTTTCCCCTCACCAGTCTAGATAGGGGTCAGCAAGCAAAGTGTCACCATCAAAAGTAATGGTCGATGCAATCTTGCAATTGATCCATTGGTTTCGCACATTTGAGTTATATTACATGGAGGGATATTTTTCACAAAACCAAGATTCTTACTTGCTATGGTTCATGGAGAACTGTTGCAGTTGCTTACACAAACACACAATATGTTTTGCATTCCTTTTAATATTGAATTGGTGAGTCTGACTAATCTTCTTGTCTGGATGCAGGGACTAGCTACATTTTAGTTCAGTTTGGACAAGGGTACTATAATTTGATGCACCCTTTTCTGCTCAGTACGGGTATGGCACCATTATCGTCTGATGTTGGGGATTTTGCTGGACACAAGGATACTTCCAAGATTGTAGGACAAACTCTACTTATATCTTCTTACAATCACCAATATCATCCAGTTATGCTGGATATGTACTTGTAACACAAGTTCTTGTTTTTTGTTGTTCTGTAATTGTATTTTTGAAGACTTTTAGAAGTTTAACAAGGGTAATATTTTTGCAAAAGTCCGGTGTACTTGGTAGTTCAGACTCAGAGAAATTGACAGCTTCATGGATAGTCTTCTTCTGTCTTATTTGGGCATTGACGGATCTGTATGGTCACCTAACCTATCTTTAATTTTGCTCTAGCAGCAACATTGCATTTGGTGCCATAACATGTTGGAGATATACTTGTTGAAACCTTCGTGGCAGTTTAGAAGCTATATTAATTGGACTCTTTCTAAAGACAATATGCATAGTTTCCCTTGTATCCAAGGTACTAGGTCCGATGCATACTAGTGATAAGAATATTTATCCATACACCCGATGCGTACAAGTGATGAGAATATTTACTTATACACCCAAGATATTAGGCTTGATTCATCCTAGCCGATTTGGCTGTCTTAAAAAAAAGAATTCTAGTCATCAATATTTCCAGACCAAAATATAATAAGCACTCCGCAAACAACATAGACCAGTGACTAGTCCTCGAAACGCTGTCGTTTTTAGCCTAGTTAGCAACCTTAAGCCTCTCCCGTCCCAGGACCTTACTGGTCACCACTGTCGTGTCGCGAGAGATGGGTCGTATGTGGATGAGACGGATGCTACTCAGACAAAACTCTCTACCTCTGCTGAAGCCTCCCATGGCCTGCTTGTTAACGCCCGCGACACTCCAAAGGCCCATCTCCTCTCCCTTTCTGAAACCATTACCACCAACTCTCGCTCCTCTTGCCTGGTCCCACCGTCGCTCTCTTTCAACAGCAACAGCAACAGCTTGTTCTCTTCCGGATCCTCTCGTTTCCCTCGATGGAATTTCTTCCCATTTTGGTGAGCATACGTTTGTTTCACTGATCAAGGTCGCTGATTTCTGATTTTTCTACTCTGGGTTCTTCTTCTTTGTTCTGATTTTGGCTGCCTTGTGGTTAGGGGGAGATGACGGCGTTGGAACTTCAAACGAGGGCTTGAAGGTTCTTCTCAAGGGAATGACATACGATGAGCTTGAAGTAATTTCTTTTTATCTCACTAAACTGGCTTCGTACTTTTGCTTGTTAACTGAAATATGTTGCTTATAATGGTAATGCTTTGACAGAAATGGGTTCAGTCTCATGGCTACAGGCCTGGCCAGGCTTTAATGCTATGGAAACGTCTCTATGGGAACGGTATTTGGGCGCATCATAGTGATCAGCTGGAAGGTTTCTCCTCCTACTTTGCCTTATTTCTGTTAACCCAATTCCACGCTTCCTCAATACAGTCATTTTTAGTAAGCAAATTGTTTTATGTTTCATTCTCTCTTGACGTAATTTGATTTCCGGTCAATGAATTCTCTCTCTCTTGATATGCAGGCTTGAATAAAGATTTTAAGAAGATGTTGAGTGAGAATGCTGAATTCAAGGCATTGTCTTTGAAACAAGTTATTACCGCCGCTGATGGAACTAGGAAGGTACATGAAATCATTTCCTTATGTTTCTGTATTGCTTAACTATCTTCATACACAGGCTACTATACTCAGTGTAAAACTACTTTGGGATTTATCGTATATGGCTTTAGGTCGTTCCTTGTATTTCTTTGAGAACCTTCTCATTGATTATGAAACTCACAGGAGGTTTCAGATTTTGTTCACTTTGGAAGATGGATTGGTGATAGAAACTGTTGTCATACCTTCCGATAGCAGCAGGAATACTGTTTGTGTTTCAAGTCAAGTGGGCTGTGCAATGAATTGTCAGTTCTGCTACACTGGCAGGCAAGTTTTTCATGCTCTGTAATTAAGCTAAGAATTCTATGGTATTTCAATTAGGCCAGATAATCTGAATGTTAGTTCAAAATCATTCCATTTTACAGGATGGGTTTAAGAAGACATCTGACTGCTGCCGAGATTGTGGAGCAGGCTGTCTTTGCACGGTGCCTGCTTACAAGTGAAGTTGGTGACATTACAAATGTTGTATTTATGGTAGGTTAGCAGTTTGGGATACATTTCAAATGGATATGAGTTTTTTCTTTAATTAGATTCAGAAAATCCTAGTTTGCTTTTCTGTCAACTAGACCCAAGTAACTTGCTGAACCTGTATAACCTCAGCTTGTGCTGATTTAGGTAATCTGATAACAGATACTTTCTTCCTCTCTGATAATAGGCTTAAATTTATATTTCTAGGGAATGGGAGAACCACTTCAGAACATTGACAATGTTCTTAAAGCTACAGACATAATGCTACACGATCAAGGCCTTCATTTCAGTCCTCGCAAGATCACTGTTTCAACAAGTGGGCTTGTCCCCCAGCTGAGGCGTTTCCTGAAAGAATCTAATTGTGCTTTAGCTGTTAGTTTGAATGCAACGACTGATGAGGTATTTCTATTCAGTTATATTTGAACTTGCGAACAATATGTCCATGAAATTAGAACCGCACAGTGGTATGACCTTCCTTACACAAACATTGGATTCGCAGGTCAGAAACTGGATCATGCCAATTAACCGGAAATATAACATAGGCTTGCTTCTTCAGACCCTTAGGGAGGAACTTCGCTTCAAGAATAACTACAAAGTTCTCTTTGAATATGTAATGCTTGCAGGAGTTAATGATAGGTAAATGAAGTTTTATACTTCATGTTGTTTGACTTGAATATGTAATTTCGTAAGTTTCTTTTGTTGCAGTATTTCATGGAATGCAGCATGCTATTATTTTGCAAATCTAATGTCATTCAAGCTCAAATTATTTGATTAGGATCTGTTCGAAGCAATATTGGTTTGCTCCCAATTAGGGATTCCTTTTCTCTTTCTGGTCATGAATTTATTCTTTGCATGTTACAGCATTGAGGATGCAAGGAGGCTTGCTGATCTTGTTCAGGGAATTCCATGCAAGATCAATCTTCTCTCATTTAATCCTCATGGCGGATCCCAATTCAGACCAACCAGTGACGAGAAGATGATTGAGTTTCGAAATCTTTTGGCTGAAGCAGGGTGTGTTGTCTTCTTGCGGTCGAGTAGAGGTGATGATCAGATGGCTGCTTGTGGTCAGCTTGGAAATCCTGGTGCAATCCAGGCTCCCTTGCTCCGTGTGCCAGAGCAATTCAAAATGGCAATGGAAGTGTCTGTGTGATCCGATCATCTCAACGTTATTTTCCCAAAGCCTATAGATGAAGCTGAAGCTATGCGTTAATTTTATTACTAGCCTTGGAGCTATCTCTTCTGGTGCATCGGCGTCGCATCGAACAAACTTGGGGTATCTGGCCTTTTTGGAATTCCTATCTTTGCCCCCGCGTCGTATCACCATGGCCTGCATGTTCAATCTTAGCTCTGTCTTGTATGCATCCACCTCATTGCTGTATCAGCGGGTCTGTTACCAAACTAAGTAGAAAAGCCTGGCTAGGAATAATATTTGATGTCTTCTGCAAACAGTAAATGTAGCTTCTGTGTCGGCAGATGCTAAATTCCCCATTTATGAGTCTTTAAACATTAAAGCCTTAATTAATTCATCGTGTTTTTTCTTTGGTCAAATTCAATTAACCCATGATACATGATATATGATAGAGGCAAAAAAAGGTAAAACAATGGTCAACAATTTAATATGGTAAATTCAAGTTTGAAGTCAACGTTCCTGCATGGTAAGAAGTTCGTTAATCCATGTTCAACGTTAAGAAAAGTTCGTTAATCATTTTTCAAACTTAAACTAAGAAGTTCGTTAATCAAGGCTGAGAGGTAATCGCCACAGCACGCTTCATTTCCCTTTTTCTCTTGTGAAAAACAACCAAAAACACGTTTCGAATATTTAAGTAGAGGCAAACGGGCCAGCTGGCCAATATTTAAATTCATAATTGGATCGTTATAGCCACGCGCCGAAGAAAGCCGGTAGAGACACGAAACACTTTTTGGCGGCATCTCTTCCCTCACCACCACTCCAAAATTTTTGCAGCTATATAAAGTTCCTCCAGCCCTTTCCCTTTGTAATTTTGTATCGTCATTGTAACCAACTCTCCCTCTCTGTTTCTCATACCCTCGCTAGCTATCCAGAGTCGAAATCGTAAGATTTTAGTCTCCGAGCTCCATTGCTCTACTTCTTCTCTGTCTGCGTTCCAAGTTCAGTTGTGAGCCAACAATGAGAGCTACTGCGAACAATGGGAGCTATCGGGATCGGAGATCGATGAAGCATGTTCTGGACAACGTTCATGGATACATCTACCTCGAGCCGGTATGAGAATCGATTTCACCGTTTAACTTCTCTTGCGAATTCGCAATATCGTTTCTGTTTCCGTTTCCTGCTTTGAATTTGTTCCTCGCTACTGGAAATGTAGAATCGTAGTTTAAATTATCAAGTCTATTTGTTTTCGAGCTCTAAATTCGTGGTTGAATTTAATGCGGTGAAACGTTGCAATTTCGCCTCGTGAACAGTTTGCTTCGGCTAGTAGTTCATAGAAATGCATATTGTATAATTAATCTTATTTTCATATATTTCGAGCTGTTTAATTGAGATTTTAAGTTTAGAGAGATAAATATGCGCCCGCGATTCAGAAATCGCTATATTAGAATTAGAGAGCGCTGATTTGTGCTTTGTTTGGTTCCTGTCTCAGAGTATTAGGAAATCGTTTGGTGAATTGATACTGGATATCAGCTCGAGCTTGTGAATCGAGTTTTTTTATTTTGTTTTTGATCGAGTTATACGTAATGTAATTTTTATTTTGTCAGAAAGTTTTTCTGCTTTGAGTTATACGTAATGGTTCAGATGCTTTGGTAAAAAACTGCAAGTGAAGATTTGATGTTCTCAGATTGATAATTCGTCAGGGGATTTGAGTAGTTTGGTCTTGAAAAGTTGAATAAATGAGCTGCATAGCCATTCAAATTTTTTGAATAGTTTCTCATGAGTGATAGAACCTTTACTTGACGATTTAAGGACCTAAGGCTGGATTTCTTCGTTTAATTCTTCGAAGGATTTCAAGTCAAACTTCATACAGAGCATTGAAATTGTTTAATGATAAAGCTCAAAGAAGAAGAAGCAGCTTAAATTCTCAGATTAATAAATTAACAAGTGAAATTGAACTTTTGATATATGACGGAAGTCACTAAATCGTAGCAGATCTGGAACAGAGTGTCTTTTACTGAATTTGAGTTAATAAGGAAACGTAATATTGGAAAAGTTTCGAAAAGAAGATGGGGTTGGATTTGAGATCAGCAGCTCAATGTTTTATTAGGGCTAATAATTTGAGATCTCATGTTTGACGTGATTTTTAATTTTAAAATTCTCGAGGGAAGTATCTAAAGATGTATTCCTTTCAGATTTACTTCTGCACTTTACGTGCAGTATGGATTCCCTTCAGAAGTGCATTGCATTTAACTTAAAATATTCTCTATTGTTCATGGAATTTATGTTACATTATACAATCGTATCAAATGAATCTTTGTATGGTTTGTTGCAGTTATTCTTGCAGTTCATTGACACTGAACAGTTTCAGAGGCAAGTTTGATAAAACTCTATGCAAGGGTCATTTTGTCATTGAGTAAATTTTGGTGTTTCTTTTTTTCCTGATAAATTTATTGCCTATTGCAGGCTTCGTGATCTTAAGCAACTTGGTGAGTTGAACTTCACTATATGAATTATCAATAACAAATATTAGATTTATAAGTAACTAGGACACCAAATTTCTAGATATTGATTGTTGTAGATATGCTGACATAGTCTAATAACGGGTACCAGTTTCATTTTGATTGTGACCAATGGGTGTGCATTTGTGTCTGTGTGTGTACGCACATACATATGCATTAAATGTACTTTATCTATTTATATCCTCAGTCTTAGATCACCTTCTACATTTATCTCAGTAGTTGTTCTACTTATGTATATCTATTGTTGTTCATCACACAAACATCAGGTTTGATTTTAATGTTACTTCCGATCCAGGTCTGACACACATGGTTTACCCTGGGGCTGCACATTCTCGATTTGAGCATTCACTGGGAGTGTATTGGCTGGCTGGTGAAGCTGTCAATAAAATTAATTTTTACCAAGTAGGAATTTTTCATCACGGCCTAGTCATTCTCATTATGAAACCTATGAATAAGAACTCTTTCCTATTTCATCTGCCATCCTTGTAGGGCCAGGAGCTTGGAATTGAGGAGTTTGACAGGAACACAGTAAAACTTGCTGGTAATCAGACTGTACCTGCCATAATAAATGCTTTCCTTTAAGTAAGATTGTCCTACATATCTATTCTTTTGTCAAATCTCTTTCTAGGACTACTGCATGATATCGGCCATGGCCCTTTCAGCCACATGTTCGAGCGCGAGTTTCTTCCTCGGGTTCTTGATGGTTACGATTGGTGATTCTTACATTCTTCAAGTGAATTTAGCTCCATTTTTTCTCTATAGTAGAAAGAAGATTGCATTCTACGCGGATTTAAACCTTTCTGAAACTAATATTACTGATGTTCTGTTTCATTTATGACTTTCACATGCAACATGTCCTTATTCTTTAGGTGAGACTTAAGAACATATTGTGCAACTCAGTAGAGGGAGCTTTATGTTTGTTTGATGGTTGTAAATCGTATCTGCTTTAGTTAGGATATCTATACAGTTTTGGGGTTGACTTTTTTGTACTTTCTAGGTCTCATGAGGATATGTCTCTGAAGATGATAGACTACATTGTCGACAAGCACTGTATTGATATTGATTCGGCAATCCTCAAGACTGCGAAGGTTAGATTGTCTTGCCATCAACTTTATCTTTAGCTGTTTTTCTTCCAACTGTCAGAAGAAGTCACTCAAATCCCATCATATAGGCAGAAAAGATGCAACATTTTCAAACTTTCTGCTACTTGTAGGGAAAAAAATAGCAGGAAGCATTTTTTTTTCACTTGTTTAAGGCTGGGCTGAATTCTTTCAGCTTTGATTGCATTCTGGCATCCTTCCTTGTATCCTCATTGATGTCTTCATTTCTTAGCAACTTTTAACTGCTGAGATCACTTCACCTTCTCAAAGTGTCTTTGTTGGCTCAATCTGTGCTAACTTGAATGATGGTGGACATTTGTACAATAATAAGAATGAATTAGGATATAATATTTTGGGACTGTTATGTATCTTTACAGGAAATGATCCTTGCCAGCTCTGAACATGGGCCACAAAAGGTAAGTTGTCATAGAGCTTAAGGTTTAATTTTGAGAATTCTTCAAGTACCTCAGAACATCTTACAAACTTATTTTTCCCCTTAATGTTTGTACTCTATATTGAACTCCTTTAGTCATTTATTCTTAGCCCCTTTTGCAATTTTCTTAAAATGTAGAGCATGACAGAAAAGCGTTTCTTGTATGATATTGTTGCAAATGGGCGAACTGAAATAGACGTTGACAAGTAGGTCACTTGATTTCTTTTTATATTTTTGTTTGGCATTCCATGTGGATATTCTATAAATTGCTACTTGTTATCTGACAATACTAAGTGATACATATGCCAATTGTATACAGGTTTGATTACATTGTGCGTGACTCCCGAGCATGCGGTATTGGTTCTGGTTTTCAATTTGAAAGGTATTTATAAAGTAATAATTTCCAGAGAGCTTAAATTCAGTGAAGATCTATGCTTATTGCTCCTCTGTCCAGTACACTAAAATTTGTGACATTTACATTTCTGCAGAATTTTGAACTTCGTGTATTGTGTTATTTGCACATACTTTTTGGAAACTATACTTTTCCATATCCGTACTGCAGCTTTTGACAGGACCTTGTTTGTTGTTCATACTTGCAGGCTGATGGAAACTATGAGAGTGATGGATGATGAGATATGTTATCGCGCTAATGAGTGTCAGTATATCTTGAATATTGTCCTCCCATCACTCTTGCAACATAGTAGTTATGGTTCTGTAAATTTTATTCGATATCTTGGTCAGATCTGACACTCCACAAGCTATTTGCCACTCGTGCTGATCTTCATCGGACTGTGTACACGCATCCAAAAGTGAAGGTCCTAGATAGAACCAATAATTTTTAGCTGAAACATCTGAATTATAATGGTACCATATTTGGATTTCTCTGATATGCCTCTAAACATCAAATTCGTTCTCAGGCTATTGAACTCATGGTTGTTGATGCTCTGTGCTATGCAAATGCTGATCTTG